CCCCCGTTTTTGTTTTACTTTCTGAAATTTCTCAACTTATCTTCCAACACCTTTATTGTATTTTCTTATAACATATCTTTAATATCCAGGAGCTTGTTTTTATTGAATACTTCTTTTTACTATGACAATCTTCTTAAATTTCTTAAATCTATTTTTTATCTCTTTGAAGCTTTCTTTTGTTATGTTTCCTTTTCCTGTTTGTGTTGGTCTTTGTCTTTCATGGGACAGCCATGCTTCTTAAACCTGGATGGAAACATCTGGTTATTATTAAAAAAGAATTATGAATACTGATGCCTAGGCCCCGCCTGAGGCTGATTAAGCCATTCGTTTTACTGAAATACCTGGAGTCCTTGACGGATCATTTGTATTAAAGTGAGTTATTGAGTTGGCGACTGGAATCTCTTTAGGGCTTACTACCTGGTGTGAACACAGTAGGTGTTCAAGTGAGGCTGGCTACTTGAAGTGAATTTGTAGGTCTTCTCACTTAGACTTGGTCATTTTCCCTAAAGGGGGATCTTTCTGTCCTCTCTTGGGGAAGCTGGTGTCACTGACTAGAACTGGGTGGCAGCAAACATGGTAGCAGTGTTTGGAGATCGAGAGAGATCTCATCCTTTGGGGTGCAGACTTTTATTTTAATTCCCTCTTTTCATTTGGGCACGTCACCTGCCCTGGCTGGGCACGGTGTCCAGGAGTCTGTTCAGCCTCTCCAGAGAGCAAGCTGCAGTCTTCCTCCCTGAGTGGGGGAAGAGTAGTAGCCTGGCTAAAACCATGTTGCCTCCTATCTCTCTGTTTTCTCTACTTTAAAATGTTGGCATATTTCACTTGGTGGCTTCTCTTCTTGGTTTTTTATTGTTACAGGTTTTCCTCTTTTTTATGCCTTTATGAATGTTTTTCATGTGATATGAATATCAGTCCTTTAAAGGCTAACATTAATGCTTTATGGGAGAAAATACCACATGTATTATAACAAGTAGGTTCTTAATAAACATTTGGCTTTCTGTAAAAATGGTTGCCATTTTTGTATTCTTCTAACAGTAATATGGATAGAACACACAGAGAAAAATCCCAGTGTGGCTCAGGGGTTAAGAGCATCAGCCCTTGCACCAAAGGGTCACTGGTTCAATTTCTGGTCAAGGGCATGCACCTGGGTTGCAGGTTCCATTCCCCAGCCGGGTTGGGGGGAGTGTGAGAGACAACCAATCTATGTCTCTCTCTCACATCAATGTCTCTTTCTTCCCCCCCACCTCCCTCCCTTCTACTCTCTCTAAAAAAAATCAATGGGAAAAAAAATTCTCAGGTGTGGTTTAACACCCCCCACCACCACCACCACCAAAAAAAATATCCCAAAGTATTGTTGTGCTTTTCATTGGCAAGAGGGAAGGAAGATAATTTGACTAAATGATCCTTTTTGGGGGTGGGTGGGATCTGGGACTTCTACATACCTTTTGTTTGTGTTTTAAATCCTCACCCGAGGATATGTTTTTATTGATTTTAGAGAGGTAAAGGGGGAGGGAGGGAGAGAGAAACTTCGACGTGAGAGAGAAACATTAATTGGTTGCCTCTCTTATGCACCCAGACCAGGGGTCAAACCCACAGCCTTTTGGTGCATAGGACAACACTCCAACTGACTGAGCCACCTGGCCAGGGCTCTAGATACCTCTTTTTAAAAAATTACTTTTTAATTAAAGTTGACATGCAATGTTATATTAGTTATAGGTGTACAACATAGTGATTAGACATTTGTATACCTTATGAAGTAGTCACCCTGATAAGTCTAGTACCCATCTGATACATACTAAATGATTCTTAAGTAATCTGGAAGGTACCATGCTCAAGAATTTTCAAGATATTCTGAAAGGAGCAGTGCAAGGAGACGTCCAATCAGTGAAAAGGAACAGTGTGGTACTGTCATCAGGGTAGGTCATTGAAAAAAACACACAGTAAGTTCCAACACAAACACAGAGATACAGAAGATTTGGAAGTGTACTGAAGTGACATTTCAAACTAATGAGAAAAGAGTTGGATGTTTCTTACAGTTTGGTTTGAAGCAACTGACTAAACATCTGGTAAAACAAACTTAGGTCTTTTTATCTTATTCTGAAATGTTAAATGTGTTAATTTTTAAATTAAAGACTACTAAAAGAAAATATAGGTAATTAACTGTATACTTGTACAGGGTGGGATAAAAGTAGGTTTATAGTTGTGAGTACATAAAACACAGTTTATTTTTGTATTATCAATGTATTATTTTCTGTACAAACAACTGTAAACCTACATTGCCCCATCCTGTATACTCTTATATTTTATAATCCTCACCTGAGGATATGTTTTTATTGATTTTAGAGAGAGAGGAAGGGGAAGGAAGAGAGAGAGAAACATCAATTGGTTGCCTCCTGTATACACCCCCACCAGGGATCGAACCAGCAACCTGGTTAAATGCCCTGACCAGGAATTGAACCCATGACTTTCAGTATACAGGACGATGCTCCATCTAACAGAACTACATCGGCCAGGGCCCTGGATACTCAAGTGAGAGAAGCCATATAATTAACCATGGCACTAAAGGTGGAAACCATTAAGGAAACGATTGATAGGTGTGGCTTTTTATAATAGAAACTAATACTAATAAGAGCAAAAGGTTATTAAAATACTCAGATGACACATTTGGAAAATACTATCATATGATAAAGGTGACACCTTGATCAAACATGGAAGACTACATATTCAGGTAGAAGAGTGAGCAGAGAATGTGAGTGAGCACTTCACCAAATCATTGCACGTTTTTAATGCACTTGTAATGTCAATGCTACTGGGAATCAACAACATAGAAATTTTGAAAAACTTAGAGAATATGAATATTCCTTGCATTCCCTTAAATTATTTTCACTATTGGCAAGTCAGTGGGAAAATGGGCGCCCTGTTCACTGGGTATTCCTTTTCTGCAGGGTAATCGGATAGTATGTGTCAAAAGCCTTAAAAAATGTTTCTTCTTCTGGCTCTGTAATTGCACTTCTAGGAATTGAGTCTAAGAAAATATTAGGAAATATGCTCCAAGTATGTCATAAATGTGCAAGCTTATTAATAACAAAGCTTTTTATAATTGTGAAATATTTAAAAACAGCCAAATGCTAATATTGTGTCATATACGTTCAGTGAAATATACCATACAACTAAGAAAACCACCCATATATATATATATATATATATATTTATTATTATTGGGAGATACATGCATAATATGTATTACATGAAAAGAGCTGATTATAAAATATTATATACACTATACATCTTCACACAAAACATTTGTGTACATTCATGTGCATGGAATAAATCTGAAGAGGTAACAAATAATATGAATAGCTAACTTTGGTTGAGCAAGTACTAGGTTTCAAATACAGTGCCAAGGCTTTGCGTGTAGTACTTCATTTAATGGACGCAACATATTAGCAGTGCTACCTTTGGGTGATAGAATTTTAAGAGATTGAGGGTTTTTTTTCTTTTTTACTTCTCTATATTTCCTAACTTTTCTATAATAATTATGCATAATCCTCTTTGAGAATTTGTTGCTTAAACTTTTCAGTTTTAACGTTATTGAGTGATTTGAGAAGGCTTTCATGGTCCTGAAAAAGCAATTAAAGATCAAAAACTTCAGAATAAATCTTGTCATAGCATGATCTTGGACAAGTAACTGTGCCTCTTGGATTTTGTGTTTTCCCTTATAGACCAGGAGAGTTAAATATCGAGCACCTTTGTAAAAGGAGCTATATACATACAATAGCAGTTAACTGAATCATACTATTGATTTAGACACTTGAAAAACTTTCTACATATTACCCAGGCCATCTGGAATGGGGTGAGGATATTTGTGCTGTTTTTTTCAATCCTAGGGAATTGCTGCTCAAGATTCATAGAACATATGAATATGTAATTACAGCTCAGATGCAGTTAAGACTGATCTAAGAGATCCTAATTAGGTTTTTTCATAAGCTTTGTCGTCACCCTTATTGACAGTGAATTATGTTTTTTGTGGACGCCAAATCTCAAAATTAAATGCCTTCTCCCCCCATCTAGGTCAGTTGGTGGTGTGCACTTTATGCTCCTGTGTCATGAAAACGAAGCAGATATGGCTCTTTTCCGCTCACATGCTCCCTCTGCTCGCACGACTCTGCCTTGTTCCTCTGGAGACAATTGTTATCATCAACAAATTTGCTATGATTTTTACGGGATTGGAAGTTCTCTATTTTCTTGGGTCTAATCTTTTAGTACCTTATAACCTTGCTAAGTCTGCCTACAGAGAATTGGTTCAGGTAAGACTGACAACCACGCACAGGTAGATAAAATTCTACATACATATTACGTATATTAAAGATTTAGTTCACTTTTATTTCACTGTTGTGGTCATGGGAACATTCTGTTTCATGGTGTCAAGACAGCAACTATTTTCAACCCAGTTAGGAACATCTGAGATTTTTTGTTAGGAAGTTCCACTGAGAGGCAGTAAAGGGCAGTGATTTCTCTGGGTTTTCACTCTGGTGTTCTGTTTACTAGCTGTGTAACCTGGGATAGCCGTGCACCTTCACTTGTCTGTAAAATGCAGCTAATAATAGCAGTTGTACTTAATTTTAATTCATAGGGTGCTGTGAGATTCAAAGGAGTTCAGTGCCAGGCAGACGTGGCTCAGTATGTGTTAACCGTTGTAATGAAGACAAAAATAATACAGAATTGAATATCTGGAGGTGCAGTCCTCTCTTTCCCCCTGATTATAGTCCAGTTGTAACAGCAATTTTCCCTCTGTGTTTGCCTAATTTGTTTACCCTGAGAAGTTGAGTAGTTCTGGGCGGAAACAGGATGGCTTTCGTTTAGGTGTAGTACTTGAATGACTGGCTGATGTAACGTGCTTCTGCCTCCTACTTTATTCAGACTTTCCTCTAACACACTTTTCCTAGACACAGACGATAGATACTCAGGAGATAAGTATTTCTGTTTGATTTGAGAGGTTGCAGTATATTATATAAAATAGAGCTTAAAACCTGCCTTGGTATAAAAAGAGTGTTGAAATGGGCATTGTCTTCTGCCTCTTGACTGTATATGACCTTAAGGTACAGGAAGCTCTCAGGTTGTCCAGACATACTCAGTGAAGCAGGTTTTTGTGTTGTTGTGGCCCCAGGGGCAGATTTCCCAGAAAAAAATTTTCTAAGCTCTTGGCCTTAGCCTAATCCTTCCTTCTTTCTTCATCTTACACAATATTGGGTGATTCCTGAAAGTAGATCTTCCTGAGATGAGGTTATTTTCAGTCTCTCCATAAGAGCTGCTTCAGGGGGAAGGGTTGTCATTGTCTTCAGAGAGAGAATGACAGTTTAATTTGTGTAAATTTTTCTCTGAATTTAGTCTTGTGGAGCTATCCAAGTTTGTAAGAAACAGTAGGTATTGAGTAAATATCAGTGAGACATAGTTTATTTAATCGCCGTAAGGACAAAGCCTCCATTTCTCACTGTCATGTTGACACTCTTGGTTGCCCTAAGATTCATGCATCACTTGGTGGTGTGGTTGAAAACACATTGTAGGTTATGAAGTTCATGACCTGGAAAGAATTTGATAGGCAAGAAATGAATACTGTCAGGTTGTTTAGTGGTCTGTTCCTTGAATGGAAAGGAGAAAAAGTACTGTCTACCTCTCAACCATCAGTTTGCTGCTAATAATAATTTTACAGCTAGTTGACCAATTCCCTGTTGTGTCGTCCCCCCCCCCCGGAAATATTTTCTAGGTGGGGAAAGTGAGGTTAAGCTTGACTAGATTTTAGAAAAAGCATTTGACTTACAGATGGAAAAAATTTAAATTTAGAATTACCTGCAAGTCAGTGTATTTTAAATTAATACTTAAAGATCTTTACCTATGTAGAGAGATACTAATTAGAAACCAGAACAACTTGCAAGTCTGTGTATTTTAATTTAAGACCTTTACAGTTTATTGAAACATCACATTGAGAGTTCCAGCAAGACCAGTTGACTGCTTAGGTTAGAGCACGTAGCCTGCCTGGGAGAAGAACCCTGTTGTGCTACCCTGTGAGGTTCCTCGTTAGGTAACTCCAGAAATGTCATTACGTTTATGCTCTTAGGCTAATCAGATCATGAAAATCAATTGCATGAGAGATTGTTTTATAAGCTAGAAAGGTAATTTATTGACTTAAAGTAGATTAATAAACTTTTCTTAGGTGTGTCTTGTTTCCTGGTGTTAATGTACTTGGCCAACCAAATTGAGAAATGTTGCTTGATAAGTACACAGTAGGAGCAAAGGGGAAAACCTGCTAATTATCTGGGTGGGTAAACTCCATAATTATCTTTGCTTTACAATAGAGTATACCTCTCCAGTGATTGTTTTGTCTTCCATCAAACTGTTTCTCATCTGTGACATACCTGAATAAACCCTGAAAAATTCTTCCTCATAAATTTCATTTTTTTCCAAGTCCCTCAAGCAATATTGCATCATTCATGCTAGTCCTCATTGTTTTGATTAGATATGAGTAAGTTTAGCAAGGCTCCTGGTATTGCCTTTTATGCAGTTTTACTCCGCGTGTGACTTTATCTTGGAACTGTTAGGGCAATTTACTGTTGCTATTTGATGAGTGTGTGTAAAGTGTTAATAGTAATGCAAAACCAGTAAAATTTTAAAAACATGGTGTTTGTTAACTGTATGGGTAAAGCTAACTTTTAAGGGATTTATCTGAAACAATCTTACAATAAAAGCAATTTACTTTTTCTCTTTAAGTATTTTAGAATGAACTCTTGTGCTTAAAAGTGCTTATTGCCATGTGATACAAGATGTGTTCCTGTCTTATTTTCTGACTCAGGTAGTGGAGGTGTACGGCCTTCTAGCCTTGGGAATGTCCCTGTGGAATCAGCTGGTGGTCCCTGTACTTTTCATGGTTTTCTGGCTCGTCTTGTTTGCTCTCCAGATTTACTCCTACTTCAGCACTCGAGATCAGCCTGCATCTCGGGAGCGGCTGCTTTTCCTTTTCCTGACAAGGTAATTAATGAGAGTATCTGATACTGCACATAAGCTTAGGAAGAGAAAACTTGAGCTAGGAGTCGTAAGTTTTGCAAATTAACTTTCATCAGTCATATTATAGTACTTCATATTTAATGAAGATAGGTTTTTCATTCAGTGGCTACCCAGGTCTGGTGATTCTGGGAAGTGCTAATATAATAATGGTGGTATATTTGGCTGCACCATAGACATAAGTACAGCAAGTGATTTGTGGAAAGGTACATAGCAAATTGTAAAAATAATTTCTTGCAGTTTCAAGTTAAATTATTGGGTCACTAAAGGAAAAATATGTTACTGAAAATAGCTATGATTTATTGAGTATTTAATATGTGCCAGCCACACTAGTAAACAGTTTTCCACATACTTAGTCTTCTCTGCAATCTTCAGAGATTGGTGTCTTTGTTGTTATTACCATTTCATAGCTGGGGAAACTGTACCAAGACACCCAGGTGGTGCTGAAAGCAGCAGCACTGCCCGGCCAGGTGTGGCTCAGCGGTTGAGCGTCGACCTGGGATCCAGGCGATCAGGGTTCGATTCCCGGTCAGGGCACATGCGTGGTTGTGGGCTTGATCAATGACTCTCTCATCATTGATGTTTCTGTCTGTCTCTCTCCCTCTCCTTTCTTCTCTCTGAAATCAATAAAGACATATTTAAAAAAAAAAAAGAAGAAAGCAGCAGCTCTGACCTCAAAACCCCATCTGAATTTGCACCCTGTGACTTACCTAAGCGCTTTCACTATGGCCCTTTATTATTTTTTTAAATATATTGATTTCAGAGACAGGAAGGGAGAGGAGGGAGAGAGATAGAAACATCAACGATGAGAGAGAGAGTCATAGATCGGCTGCCTCCTGCACACCCCCTACTGGGGATTGAGCCTTCAACCCAGCATGTTACCTGGTTCACGGGTCAATGATCAACCACTGAGCCACGCCGGCCAGGCTATACCCTGTTATTTTTACTGTTTTGCTTTATTATTCAGTCAAGTAATTGGTGCAGTGGGTATATTGTAGTACTTTACTGTTTAACCCAAAGGAATTATAAGACTTGGTCTTTAAAGTTTAGTATGAAAAAATTGTCTTTAGGTCATTAGAGTCTTTTCCCACTTCGCTGTGAGCTTATGCTAGACCCACACTTGCCATTTTTCCACTGAGTTTGAATCTCAAGCCCTCAGAATCTAGCACATGGGTGCACACCTTTGTTCCTTGCCTCACTGTCACCTTAAAAGGCAAGAATGAAACTGTCCTGGAAAGGAAATACGGGTAGATAAAAATCTTGAGTTTCAATTAATAGGACCATTGTTTCTCAGCCATCCAAAATGATGGAACACTGTGTACTCAGTGGTACAGGGAATGAGAAGTTTGAGACAAATTTATGGTCCTTAAGGGGCATGCTATTTGTTAAGATCGAAAATGTTACACAAAGTTGGATATTATTAAAAATGTCATGAGGCAGTACCCCTGTTGACAAGTAGAATAAACTTACTGGTACTAAGTCAGGCTTTGTACTTCTGAAAATAACACTTTTAATTGATAAGTAGCTTCTATAAACATGCAACAAACTAGTATCAAACACATTTTAATGGTCCATTATTAATTAAGTTTTACTGCTGTTAACTTTTATGGAAATATTATGGAGTTTTTATGCAGAATTTTAAAGTAATCCAAAAAGTAACTGAATTTAAAGAGAGAAAATCCTGAGGTTAGAATAATAACAGTGTGGCACTGGGGTTGGCTATGTTTTAAACTAGGTGGTTATCCATCGTAGAGCACAATGGAATGAAGAATAGCATAGTGTGATACATAATAAGCTCAACAGGCAGTAAGCTGTGAATGAATTTGGATTTAGTTATGAAGTAAGAAAATAATACTGAGATTTTAGGTGAGGTTTAGATATATGACAAACTAATTTTTCTCTCTATTCCTTTTTTTACACATAGGATAGATTGATCCTCAAAATGAGAATGCTTTAACTTGGTTTTTAATAGAGAAATTCCTGTATGGTTCTTTGATTGGTTTATGTCTCTGCAAGCATTGTTCTTTGGCCTTATCGATGCTCTTGTGTGCCCAGTTATATTTGTGTGTTGCCTTGCCAAAAAACAACTTATTTACAAAAAGAAGGATTGCAAGTATACCAGAACACCCTGACTAAACAAACCAATAAGAAAGCATACACAGACGAACTGAAAAACAAAAAGAAGGCTCTTTTGCAGCTAGGAAATAGAAACTAAAGTCAATAAAGTGTCTCCTTGAAGAGAGAGGGGAAGAAAAACTTTTATAAATTTCCCAAACTCTTTCACTTCCCCAAAGCTAGGTTGAAAGCCTTTGTTTTCTTTATTATACTCTCTTTTGAAAAATAGCAGCACATTCTTTTCTAAAGTGAGAGAAAAGGAATGTGCTTCTCTCGAAAATGTTTTTAAATCATACTCTTTCAGTGTAAAAGACTTCTCTACATATAAAGATAGGAATAGTATGGACCTTCAGTAAAATTTTCAGATTTTCCAGTGAAAGCGAAGTTAAATTTTTAGTATTATTTTCAGTCGTGATTTTCCTATTTTTTAATTACTGGGCAGTTTGTTTAAATATGTTATATAATGATTTCTTTCAGAAAAATGTCAAACCTTTCAGAAATTAGATTTAGAAGAATGCTGTATCATTGTTTACTCTTTTAGCTATGAACCACCATGATTGGTAGGTATTTTCATTCCTAACATAAAACCAGACATGTTTTTCTCATTATAATGTACACTGGTCTGCATAAAATTAGATGTTTTCCCATAAAAACTAGCTTGTAAGCAGTTGTGTAGGAAGGATAGCTTTGCAGCACAAGCATGGAGCTACCTAAAGGACAGACATGATTTCCCTGCATGAATTCCTCGCGCATCCAAGTGAAATTCTGCTCTGAAATTCTAAAACTGAAGCTAACAGCACTTTGAACATTTCTTAGGTGCTAAATCCAAGTTATTTTGGTACATATATTACATATATTTTCTAATTACTTGTTAGTAAGTTAATATCTAATATATTCGGTGAAAGCAATGAATGTATTTACATAAAATATGGAAGTATTTCCAAGCTTTAGTGTAAGATCTTGGTTCTTGTGATAGTTATAGCAAATATTTATGTTGATACTAAAATTTTTTTTAAATGGTCTTGGGCTATATTCTTGGACATGCTTCTGAAATAATCCAGAATAAATGAATTGATCTAAATTAAATTAAACTAAACCTAAATAAGTTAATTTGAAAACACCAACAGTGTGGAGGACTGTTGAAGAAGTGAGGTGAGTCAGGGGGCATCAGAGTCAACACAGACCCTGCCCAATAGCAGTTTGGTCAAGTAAGGAGTTTCAGCTTGTAACCATAGTAGCAGTATAGTCTGAACAATTTGAACAGCCAGCATTTTTCAGAAGAAACAGTGGACAACTATACATGTTTCTTTTCAATATCACCAATATGTTAATTATGTGTTTCTCAAGGTTTGAACAAGATTTAAGCCTGAGAGTTTTAAGGAGATGATGCATTTGAAGGAGATGCTAGGTAACTAAAAATAAAGAAGACTTTCATATACAGTGCTGTGTACTGAATATTTGCCAAAGGGGTAAGAAAACGTAGGTCAGGATAATAAGTGGATTTAAATTATTAATAGAGCGGTTAGGAGGTGTCATCTGAAATTTTAGTTTGGAGTGTTTTAATTAATGAGGATCAGATCAAGTTTGGTGGTTATTTAAAAGCTTAAGATGTTTTTGTTCCAAATAGAAAATTTTTATCTATCAATATTTCCCCTTTCTTCTAGTATTGCTGAATGCTGCAGCACTCCTTACTCTCTCCTGGGTTTGGTCTTCACAGTTTCTTTTGTTGCCTTGGGTGTTCTGACCCTCTGCAAGTTTTACTTGCAGGGTTATCGAGCTTTCATGAATGATCCTGCCATGAATCGGTAAGTTCTCTAGAAATCTCTAGAAATTTAAATCTTATATATGACTTGAAGAAATAATGACACATTTTTTTTGTTGATGAATTTTAGAGGAAATGGGATTTTGAGGAGGGTTTTTTTTGTTTGTTTTTTGAATGGTTGCAACATTGGGATTAAAATACTATGAAAAAATAATTGTGTTTCCATGTATAGAAGATGATTTTTAATCTATGTACATAACAATGCATATTGGACACCTCTTTCCTAAATTTGTTTTAGAGATTTTTTTCATAGCTTGTTTTTTCTTATTTAAAGTATAGCTCTTTTAAATTAGATTTCTATATTTGATACTTAAAGGTTTTTTTTTTTAAATGTTTGAACATAATTTTGACACTAATCAAAGTTTCAAAGGATACCACTAATGAGAATGCAGAACAGTTAACTATTGGCTATTAAAATTACTAAGATCAGGTATTGGGAAACCATATTTCTAGAACTTGTCATGATTTGTTATTTTAATATAGGAGTTTCATGGTTTCATGTATATAACCTCTTCTTAAACTCTTTAAAATTTTATGGATTATTTTAGAATTTGTAGATGGTGAATACCTTGTAAATTGGGTGGAGGATTTTTTGGGGGGGGTGTATTATTTTTTTTTATGACAGCAAATTAAAAAACCTATGCTCCAAAATCTTCCTGCCAGCACCTTTGTAATGGGAAAATGGGGGAGGGCAAGAAAGAAAAATAACTCCTGTGTAAGTTCACAAAATTTATACCATTCAGAAAGTACAAAATGGGAAGTAACAGCTTCCTTCCCTTACTTCCCATTTCCTCTCCCCAAAGCTAACAGCTATTGATGGTTATTTTAAAATTTCTTTTTAAAATGTTTTCCCCTTACCCATTTTTTAAAAATTTATTTTTGAATTACAGTTGACATACAATGTTATATTTGTTTCAGGTGTACCACAGAGTGATTAGACATTTATATGCATTACGAAGTGTTCATCCCAATAAATCTAGTACCCGTCTGACATGTACATAGTTATTACAATATTGTTGACTATATTTCCTCAGCTGTACTTAATATTCCTGTGACTATTTTAATATTTCTTACAGGGAAAAGTGCATGTATATATACTTTTTTTTTTGGTTCATTTTTGCATGCTATACACACTGTTGTGCACCTTATTGTTTCACTCAATATGTTTCAAATAGTGTTCTGTTTTATGTCAACATATATAGATATATTTCATTCTTTTTGATGAAAGCATAGTATTCCAAAATAATGAGTTTATATCTCTTTCTCTCTTTTTTTGCTATTAAAAAGTAATGCTGTTATGAGTATCTTTATATAAGTCTCTTTAATTTTTAAACCCTTAATTAGGCAAATTGCAAGCCAGCAAAGCTGAGAGAATAGTAAAATGAACTCCCATGTACAGTCTTGTGTCATGCATGCTCTTATCAACTCCACCCACCCTGTCCCCTCCTCCATAACCCCCTGGCTGCATTTGTTTGGAGTAAATCCCAGACATAATATCATTTTACCCATAAATATTTCAGTCTATAAATATTTTGAAAAAACATAACAACAATAGAATGTTTATTCCTAACAAAAGAATTGCTTCACATCAAATACCCAGTTGGTGTTCAGATTTCCCTAATTATCTAAAATGTTTTAAACATTTTGTTTGGTCAATTCAAGATCCAAATAAGACCCATATTGCAATGTTTGATATGTCTCTTAAGTCACTTTTAATATTTAGGTCCCTGCTATCTTTATATTATTTTCTCTCATTTTATTTATTGAAGATACCAGACAGTCTTACTTAATTTTTCAGAATCTGGATTTTGCTGACTGTATCCCCATGATGTTGTGTAACATGTTCTATCATTCACTGTATTTTCCTTGATACATATATTTTTACTTGCATAGTACAATCATAGGAAAAATTATTTCTAGTAAGTTAATTCATTTTAAATTTATTAGCAAATTTTTCTCCAGAAAGGTCTTATCTGTTAATGTCTCATGATGTAAATATGTGTAATGCAGTGGATATCGAAGAATGGCAGAGATATTTTTCTCATTATCAAAGTCTAGTTAGAACGCTTATGTATCTCAGAAGGTGCTTTTTTCCTGCTTTATTGTATGCTAAGTAATAGTTATGTTTTGCACATGCAGTGATACATTATGACTATATAGTATTACATCAGTATTATATGATAAGTTAATATTCTGATCAAGTTTTTTGTGGGTATCTTTGGTCTAATGATCACAAATATGTAACAACAGTCTAAGCCTTTAGATTATTTTTTGTTGGAAGTAAATGAGATTCTGATTATTGTTTGTTTTCCTGAAATTGTATGCTTTTTAGGGGCATGACAGAAGGAGTTACGCTGCTCATCCTGGCGGTGCAGACTGGTCTGATAGAGCTGCAGGTGGTTCACCGGGCTTTCCTGCTCAGTATTATCCTTTTCATTGTTGTAGCTTCTATCCTGCAGTCGATGCTGGAGATTGCAGATCCTATTGTTTTGGCGCTGGGAGCATCTAGAGACAAGTAAGAAACTTCCTAAAGAAAAGTTTTGTAATATGCGTTACATGAGTTTGTTGTCTGAAGATGTAGATGATGTTTACAGGCAGAAAATGGATGAATAATTGGTATTAGCTTAAGCTAACAACTCTACATTTTAATTTTTAGTATATGACTTTTCTCTCTTTTTGTTTTTCCCTCAAGATTAAAAGTCACATCAAATGCCATGTATTAGAAATCAACTTTTTTCCAGAGAAATTTAATACTTTTTATAATTGTTCAGTTTTAAAGTGAAGAACATAGAGCATAGAATTTAGTCTAGTAAATATAGCAAATAATACATCATTTTATTCTGTGTAACCCTGAAGGAGAGAGAGCATCGAGAGAAATGCAGTAGGAGGAAAAGGACGGGAGGCAGCCTCAGAGACAGGCCTTTGCTGGAGTGGCAGCCTCACCTGATGGCCTTTAGACAGTTGCGACTTACTGAGGTTACTGTGGGGATTCTCGACACTTTGTGGTACCAGATAAAACTAATAGCCAGATTCAGAATGTTCATCTCATATTACAGGAATTTTAAGGAATAAAAATAAAATTGTTATTTAGCTATTTAAGATACTATTTTGGCTTAATATAGTTTATACAATGACATTCTATAAATAATTGCTTAAAATTCAGTTCCGCTGTTACCCCCCTCCCCCCCTTGCATCTTTCTATACTGATTATTGAAGAACCTGATTTTATTGCTTCTTTGGTATTGCTTAATGAGTAAGGGAGCAGGCAGTGTTTTGGAAGATAGAATTTTAACAGATTTTTAAAGCATTCCAAATTAGCATTTTAATTATAGTTCATCAGATTTATCTTTTTATCCCAGATAAGAAACCTTTCCAAGGTTTCTTAGAAGCATTTAAGATGTTGAACCCAATGGTGAACTCAGTTAATAGCCACTTAAATTGGTATTTTGTTGTTGTTGTTTTTTTATTTAAGTACTATTTTGTAATCTCTGGCAATATTCTTTAGTATTAAGTGTATACTAAGATGATACTATAGAAAGTTTGGGCAAGAGAAAGAAAAAAAAATACATAATTACACTGCCATAAGATTTTTATTGAATTTTAACTGCTTAAATAAGGATATATATGTATCTATTTGTATAGTACACACACAAAAATTAGACATAAATTTAAAACTTTGCATAATGTATAAACTTTTTTGTATAGGTATATAAATATGTGTTTGTGTATAGATGTAAATATATTCCTACTTTCATATAAATGGATCATAGCTTGACTTTGAAAAATACATTTAAAGTGTTAAGGTAAATTGCCCTATTGAAGAAAATGATTTGTAATTTACCACCTAACGTAGTATAACTACTGTTACAGTAGTTCTTCCTGCCTGCCTTTTTTTAAAAAAATTAAATTATGTTTTGAATCTCAAAGCAGAGTTACTGACGTGTTTATAGTTGTCCCTTAACTTCTAGTAATAGAAATGTTTGGCAAGAAATGATATAAAACACTTTCCAAAAGTACCTCACTTTAATTTTTACCATGTTAATAATTCACTTTCTTCTCTCTAATTGTAGATAGTCCCACACAGAGTAGCACTTGGCTTGTGTGGTCACTTCTCCCTCCTATACTGTAGTTAGAGAGGAAGGAGGGTTTATGCTACTTTTGTCTCCTTGGGATGCTTTGCATAGATTTGAGGACATGTTACAGATGCTGATATTTAATTTAAACAGCTTAATTTTGTTGCAGACCTAAGCTTTATTTTGATTGAAATCCAAATTTCCTCATAATGGTTTTAAATAATCTGTGTTCGTGTTGTATAAGAAGTCACTAAATAATAATTTTAAGTCTCACTATTCAGTTTGCATAGATTGTAACTGAGTTTTGTTTTTAAGAAAGGGGAAAGCTGTTTGGGGGTCACACTGATTCCTTTCTAGTTTTGTGATCTCTGTTAAAAAATAACTCCGCCCTGCCGGGTGTGGCTCAGCGGTTGAGCGTCGACCTAGGATTCAGGTGATCAGGGTTCGATTCCGGTCAGGGCACATGCCCAGGTTGCAGGCTCAATCCCCAGTTGGGGGCGTGCAGGAGGCAGCTGATCAATGACTCATCATTGATGTTTCTGTCTCTCCCTCCCTCCGTCCCTTTCCTTTCCTCTCTCTGAAATCAATAAAGATATATTTAAAGTAAATAAATAACTCCAACTTTGGCTTTTATTTACCCAGGAAATGGGAGTATCTAGCTCCCCCCCCCCCCTTAATCCCTTGTGGAGGTAATAAGGCCCTACATCATCTATTTGCTTATAAATTAGGTGCATAGAGTAAGTAGTTCTGTAAGTGAACTTGTAGGGGTCGAAATCATCCCTTTTTTTCTATTGTACACAATGTTTTTTCCCTCTTAAGTTCCACTTAAGGTACTTGTGGGGGAGAGTTTTCGTATATTTATCTTTTAGAAGTTGTATACAATATGTCTTAAATTTGGGTACATTTAAGGAATGATCTGTTAGAATATATTACATGTATGAAGAGGTAAACAAAAGAAAAAATGATGTTCTGTCTCCTTTGGCTAGCGTTTTTCAACCTTTTTCATCTCATGGCACACATAAACTAATTACTAAATTTCTGCGGCACAACCAAATAGTACATTTTTTGTCAATCTGACAAAAAAATAGCTATAATTTTCACACTGGATGGCTGTTGTGTTGGTTGTTGCCATTTTTTTAGTTTGACAGTCTAAGGGAAAAGAGGTCGGTGCCCCTGACGCATGTATTAAAACTTCTTGCTGTGCACCAGTTGAAAAATCACTACCTTTCACCATAACAAGGGGGCTTCTCCTGTGTGTTATTCCACTACTGACAACAGGTAGGGTTCAGGTGGAGTCAGAATCTGAAATCTAAGTCTAAAAAATCTCTTGATTTGTTGCATGTCTTAAAAGCATAAAATTATACATGTAACTGTTCCCCTGTGAAATAATCATGCTAACTTTTATCCTGTTTACATCAGAGGGCTTTGCACTTGGGTGGGTAGATGGGCAGGTAAGAAAAGGTAGTAGTTGGAGGATAATTTGAAAATATCGAGCAGAAATACATTTTCAAGTTATTTGTCACACACTTCAAACAAGTCTTTTTAAAAAATTTAATTTTTTAATGTATCTTTATTGATTTCAGAGAGGAAGGGAGAGGGGGAGAAAGAGAGAGAAATGCCAGTGGTGAGAGAATCATCATTGATTTGCTGCCTCCTGCATACCCCTGATTGGGGATCGACTGGGGATCTCCGGGATCCTAGGTTGATGCTCAACCGCTGAGCCACGCCTGGCCGGGCTCAAACAAGCCTGTGCCTAGGAGCTGCTGCACCAATAAGGAGTTACCGTTCTTTTTTCAAGGAGTTTAAATTTGGGCCATAAGATTGTGTGTATGAGTGTACACATATATACACACATATGTATAAATTCTTTTGATACTAAATATAAATGAGAATGTTCAGAGAGATAATACATAAACATATATATAAATATATAATTGAAATAGTACAATTCAGTGTGTGATTGGTACAGGTGTTCAGAATTCAGAGAGTAGGTGGTTCCCAGATAGAGTATTTACATTACCTGTATATGTTTATGTTTAGCTTGAGTCAGCTTAAAGGATTTAGAGAAAGAGAGGTTGGAGTGGAGGCTTGTGTTTTTCTGGGAGCACAGCTAATTAATTAACCATATTTGTTTATAGTGAGGAACAGATGCCGACAAGCTTGGACTAAAAAATTGGGAGTGGAAGACCTCAAATACCAGGCCAGGAAGTTTAGAGGAGGTGTTGACAATATTAATCTAGTAGAGCCTTAGGAAGATTAACCTGGCTGGTGCTGTCCAGGATTGGTCTCCGGGGACAAAGAGCAGCTAGTATGTCTTACAACACAGCGGTTCATAGTTTTCCCCCAAATGTGAGGATTAATATACCTGCTCATCAGAGAGCATTCCTCTTACTAACCCTGCAGAGGTTTTCATCACAGGGTGGAGCAGGCGGGAGGACGATGGCGAATGACTGAAGAATACAGATTTTACTGTTAAAGTGGTTAAGGTTTAATGCTACTAAAGGCTGAGATGGCTTTCAAGTAGTTAGGATTGGGAATGAAACTAACTGTTTAGTAAAAAAAGAATCGATGGTACCTGGCAGTTGTCTGAGTGTGGAGACTAAGAGAAGGAATGAGGCAGGCGGGCACACCAGGCCTGAGCCACCACCGCCCTGGGCTCTAGGGCAGCAGCCGGCTGGCCAAGGGTGCTCAGGATGGTACTTGTGAAGCGAAGCATGACACACACCCCTTGGTTGGTAATGTAATGGTTGTGTTACTAGGTAATAGGCACTTTAAATGAATACTTTTCTTTCTCTAGGAGTTTATGGAAACACTTCCGTGCTGTGAGCCTTTGTTTATTTTTACTGATATTCCCTGCTTACATGGCTTACATGATTTGCCAGTTTTTCCACATGGATTTTTGGCTTCTTATCATTATTTCTAGCAGCATTCTTACCTCTCTTCAGGTAAGCCTAGAATTAATTTTTTGTAACAATGGAGACTTTTTCAGAATTCATGATCATAAGTGGCCTATTTAGGTGATTATTTCCCACCCTCTTTACTAAAACACGTTACATTTATTTGAGTGTGAAGGTAGATTATTAAAATACTAGACTGTCTTGTCACTGTACTATTTTTATCAAGGTAATTAAGCTTTTGTAATTTCTCTTTTCCAAAATGGTGTGATTGACAGAACTGTCATGTAAATCGTAAACTGATGAAGTAACTACAAAATATTAAAAGATTTTAGTGTTTGCTTAGAGCACCTTTTTTTTAGTATATATCTATTCAGAAATACCCGTAGTTTCATGATGTTTATGAATATATGACGTGTGTATGGCACATACAGACATAGTATTGCCCTGAAAATAATAAGCTTATTGTAACTTGAAGCTGGATCTTTGCCGCCTGATTTGTAAGAAGTAAAAGAAAATGTAGCATTGGCAATATTTATTCATTGTTCCTTGTAGAATTAACAGTTCTTTCAAAGTGGAGGAACAAGTATTACTATAGACTTAGGAAAATTCAGATAGAATTTTTGTGGATTCTGGTGACCTAGGGACTAAGAGGAAGGGAAGAAGCAGAGAAAACTTAATTACTAATAATTATTTTAGGAAAGTTTTCTCAAGGTATGGCTTTTCAGTATCTAGTACCTGGATTACTGAGATCACCCACATTTTACTTGTACCATTCCCTCCTCTAGATATTAATATGACATCCAAAAGTATTAGGAGGGGGTTAATGTTTAAAGTCTATGGAAAACCTTTTTTAGTGATCATATCCTGATCACTAAAGCATATAACGTATATGCTTTTTCTTTCAGGTTCTCGGAACACTTTTTATTTATGTCTTATTTATGGTTGAGGAATTCAGAAAAGAGCCAGTAGAAAATATGGATGACGTCATCTACTATGTGAACGGCACTTACCGCCTGCTGGAGTTTCTCGTGGCCCTTTGCGTGGTGGCCTATGGCGTCTCGGAGACCATCTTTGGAGAGTGGACGGTGATGGGCTCCATGATCATCTTCATCCATTCCTACTACAACGTGTGGCTCCGGGCCCAGCTCGGGTGGAAGAGCTTCCTTCTCCGCAGGGATGCTGTGAATAAGATTAAATCATTGCCTCTTGCTACGAAAGAGCAGCTTGAAAAACACAATGATATTTGTGCCATCTGTTACCAGGTAACTCGCACAGTAAGAATCCACGTGGGTGGGTTGAACGGTGCATCCCTTGGGACGTTAACCACACCATCCAGATTCAAGTTAAAGTTCCAGGCAGAATTGTCTCCTGGGTACAAAGAAAGTGGGCCTCAGAAATGATTAGACCTGATAAAATATTTCCAGTTTATTTCTAAATTAAGGTTTTAATTTAGTCCCTCAAGTTCTAATGTATTGTTATTTTCAACATTATTGCTCGCCCATAAATAAAGGAAAAGCAGGTCGGGTGTATTTTATATTTTACTCCTGAATACATTTGCACACATGAATATATATGCACTATCAAATATATATTATCACCTGGGAGTCAGCAGCTTCTGAAAAGTGGTGTGCCAAGATTCTGACTCTTTTCCTTCTGGGAGTACCAGGGTGGGGAAGAAATGTTCATTTACTTTATGTATGTGGAGAGAGCATGTGCTTACCTGTGGGCTGGTGGATTTCTGCAATGGATACAAGCCTCTGTGTGTGGGTGAGGCAGGGACATATGGTAGAGGCAACCAGTTGGTGTACTGTTGCATTGGGCCTTTCGCATGTGCGCCACATATAGCTGATGATTGCCTTCTATTAAAAATTGAAAGATGGTATTTAAATCAGCTTGAAAATATAGCAACAGAAAGTAGACCTAGAGTTCAGTCACCAGTCACCTCTGCAAGGAGGTGGTTGAGTAGCAGCAGCCTTTACAGCTAAACTATACTGTTGGAAGGGTGGACAGAAATTATGGGCAACAGCAGGAGCTGTTCCTTTAGAATCACTCTCGGAGTGTGGGTAGGTGGAAGAAAGCTGCAGAGTGTCAGTGAGCACACAGGGAATGTCTCCCTCCTAGGCCACTTTACAGTTTACATAGGGTGTGTCTGTATTTGTGTGTTTCAGACCATCTAGAATAAGATTTTTTTCCTAAGAGTAAAATGCAATTTTGTACCACTCTTTTATTGTTATTATAGAACATACTTCTGGGGACTAGCAAAATAATTTTTTTCCTGTTGTTTTTGCATTTGGAGGCGCTTGGTGTGTAATGTAGGTTCCCCGAGTTAAGCGGGCACTGTTTCAGTCTGGCTCCTTGGTGCTAGGAACCTTGCCATGCGCAGGACCAAGCGCAACAGTGACAGATTCGGGGCATAGCAGCTCCAGTGGCCTGTGTCTAAATATTCCATCTCTGGGATTTGAGTCCTCTTTTTGTATTTTCTGTTGTCACATCACTTTTTTTGAGGTGCTTGAACTACCTGCTGATACCACACAGAAAACGGAAGTCAAATTGCTTAACTTCCAAGCTGGCTGCTTTTCCTTGGATGGCTTTCTGCTTAAAAGTTGACTCTTAGGTGTTACCAGCTCTTGGCAAGGAATTTCTAGAAGTTCCTTGTTTTGGGGACTATAAACAAAGCTAATGGTCAGTTCACCAAATGTAGAATTTTAAATGTAAACTTCATGTCCTCAGCCTTCCCTCCCCAATTATATCTTAAGTGAGGAATATTAATGCAGAGTCCACCGCCTCGTATTCCAGTGGTAATTGAACTTGGGTGCGTAAAAGTCGTAGGTGGCTTGCTGTAACTGCCGATTTGTGAATGCCACCCTCAGCTATCCTGGTGCAGTTGTCAACATTTGGCCCAGCCATGTGCATGGTTAACAAGTGTTCCGGGTGATTTTGAGAGTTTAGAAACACTGACTTAACTAATACAGACCCTGCCTTGAAGACTGGACATACACGTTGAAACTGAATTGCCACTTCCTTGCCAATAACCTGGTGGTGTGGCTGATTTCGTCTCCTTGCCAATAACCTCATCATGGAATAATCTCTTCAGCTGTGGAATAGCCCTGTCTTCAGGTTTTCTGAGGTTCCAATTATACTTGTGCTGTACCGTGGAGACCCAGTAATCACAGGGCTACAGCTGTGTAACCCCCATGTTTCATACAAGGCAGAACCCAAAGAGGTCATTTCTTCCTCTTTTTGGCTTTTACTTATTTTAAAAAATTATTTAGCCAGTGGTTTTTGCATTATTTGTATAAGGGAGAGGGGTCTGATGGCAAGAGGATTATTACTAAAATATAAAATGAGTTTTTATCTAATATCTGTATTACAAATTTTCTTTGGGAAATTTGTGGGAAAGAAATGTGGCAACTATAACTTTTGGGGGGTATCGGCAAAGGTTTTAGATAAACACAAGGTATCTTCCCCCCCCCCTTTAGGACATGAAGTCTGCTGTGATCACGCCTTGCAGTCATTTCTTCCACGCAGGCTGTCTGAAGAAGTGGCTGTATGTCCAGGAGACCTGCCCTCTGTGCCACTGCCACCTCAAAAACTCCCCGCAGCTCCCAGGATCAGGGCCTGAGCCGGCTCCACAACCACATGCTGGAGCCGAGCAAAACGTTGCCCGTCAGGAAGGGCCCGAGCCCCTGGCTCCACAACCGCAAGCTGGAGTCCAGCAAAACATTGTGGGTCGGGAAGGGCCTGAGCTGGTGCCACAATCCCCTGCTGGAGCTGAGCAAAACCGTGTTCATTGGGAAGAGACGGAGCCTGCTCCACAACGGCATGCTGGGGCTGAGCAAAATGCTGCGTGTTGGGAAGGAACTGAACCCCCAGATGAAGAGTGTCCTCAAGGGACTGGGCTGCAAGAACATTCCAGGGACAATAATGAATGCATTTCCAGCAGATCAGGGAGCCAGGAAGGGACTTGTGAGCCCAGGGAATACCCTCTTAGTGCAAAAGATGAAGCACATCCTGCTGGGGTCAGCCCAGAAGAGAAGCAGCAGGGGTAACGCTGTGTACTCTGGAGGGGAGGCTAACTCCTGATGGAATCTGCTCAGATTTGAGGAACAAATGTATGGGGTGATTAGGTGAGAAACTTGACATTCCAAGGATCTAATCCAGGAAGTACTTACTCTCAGTGGAGACCACCTGCTTTCGTGCCCTTGACATTGTGTGGGAGAAATTTTGCAATGTATGCTAATCAAAATATATTTATATATCCTATGCTGATGTTTTGTAGAGGTTTGCCAAGGAAATTCAACCTCAACAACTTCAGAAGCTGCCCCTGATTTGTAAGGGATAAAAAAATCAGATTTGTGTGTCTGAAAGGAAGACAAAGAGCGTAAGGACAGTCTGGGAAGAGGCAGGCAGAAGTGAAACTGACATTTCACCTTCTATGGGACAGGATCATTCTTGCAGCAGAATATGAGTAGTGACCAGCCCCTTTCTTCACCCCCTTTCCCCTCAGCTAATTGGAACTCAGTCTGGTGATAATATTGAGTTTTGTACAGCACTGATTGAATTCAAAGATATAAAAGCATTGATTGTATCCAGAGATCAAAACACGCTCATACTTGGTATGTGCTTTGAGGGGGGTGGGGCACTTGGGTCTTGCGGGTACATTCATGTAATCCGAGACTCTTGAACTTTCTGATGGAGTCTTCGATATTTTGTGTATATGAAACTTTGTTAATATATTGTACACTGTGTTGGCTGTGTGAAGTAAACTAAAACTCTCATGAACACTTTGGAGTCCACGTTAGTGTGGGTGGGAGACCAAAGTGGGAAGGGCTTTAGGGCACTGATAAAAGCCCTCGTGTACTTTTCAGTCCTGTGTAATGTTTAGTTCTGGCAACCGAATCTACAGTGTTAAATTATGGCAATATTTGCACTGGGGAATGAGTACATAACTGTATGATCACTCTCTGCAGATGCCACTTTTAAAGCTGTTAATAGACTTTGCACCTTTTCTTTGGCAAGGATGTGTCATATTTAAATTTTTACATTCATCATGGCTACAGGTAGAACTGGGGAGGGGGGAATGTAATTTTTTATGGAATTTTGATATGAAAAGAAACTAGTCATTTATTTATACAATAGTCTTGGCTCAAAAAGTGTTTTTCAGACTCGGTATTCCTAATGTGGGATGTGACTTTATTTTATTTTTAGTAGCAAATTTGGATGTAGACTGACAGACATAGCTGAATGTCTTAATAAATTTAAATTTGAAGATAACTGTGTTTTTCCCCCTGTGATTATTATTATTATTATAAAGTGTTTTGTTGAAATTCTGTTCTTAGGAGATATATATATATTTTTTCTGTCCAGCTGGGTTTCTTATATCTTGATCTCTGTCTAAAATGCCCTGTAGATGACAAAACTTTATGCTTGAAAAGGGGCCTGTTCTTTGAAATTTCCTACATCAGTGGTAGCAGATCCAGCTCTGTACCAGAGCATCTGGGGAGCTTTTTAAAAAAGTTACACATTTTTTAATTCCACTTCAGACCCACTGAGTCTGCTTTGGGGAGAGCCTGAGAGCGTGCACTTCAGAGCTTCCTAGCTTGGCACCAGCACAGTTTCAGGGTTAGAAAAGAAGCTGCTAGACTAGAATGAGTTTCTCCCTGGTGGAGCTGGAAGTTTCCCACCATTCTTTTGGTGAGCCAGGTTAGGCAGCAAACAGAGCAGATGGCTCCCCCTAGTGGCAGTCAGGCCATTGTCCAAGACCTAGCAGTGGTCTCTGATTTAAAACTGATTTTCAGCCTTTGGGTAAAAGGTACGTGTTCAAATATTAAACATTTTGGTGCCTTATTTGAAGGAATTAAAATTGCAGATGAAGTTGAAATCATTTGTGGCATGGTGAACTTGGCCACACTTTAGCTCTGTGTATACTTCATGTAGACCTAAGGAAGAGTACTCAGATGTTTGAGATAAAAGCAGAGACTTCTTTGACACCAAGTTTCACATTATAATACACTTTCTTACCTCCTAATAGCATGGAGACCCTAGCTCTACTTGCCAAGTTGCAGGAGCCTCTCTGCTCCCCAGCCTGGTGGACAAATGACAGTCTATCTGTGTGAATCCTTTTGATTCAGTCAGGAGAGCTATCTTATGTTGTATGGATGGAAACCCTCAAAATTTCAGTGGCTTTAAAACAACAAAGGTTTATATCTCACACACGTGGCCTATGTGTCTGTTCTCTGCAGCAGACACTCAGGGATCTAGGCTGATGGGACAGCCACTGTCTCGAACCTTCCTGATGGCTTTTGCTAAGGGAAAGGGCTCTGGGAGGCTGTACTTTAGCAAGTACATGCTCCCAGTGGTGGTCACATGTCCCTTCCGTCCTTCGCCCTGTGGCCAGCACTGTGCGCCATCAGCACAGGAGTGTGTGAACCTGCAGTCTCCCTCCTATGGCCTGGAAAGAGAGCCTAGCAGTGCTGGTGGCTACCACAGCTCAGTTGAACAAGTAATTTTATTTACACATTAATCAAAATTTGGGAGCGCACCTGAGAATGGTTCAGAATATACTGGTTGGGTCCGACCAGCATGGCTCAGCGGTTGAGCATCCACCTAGGATCCAGGAGATCTGGGTTCGATTCCCCATCAGGGCACATGCCCGGGTTGCGGGCTCGATACCCAGTGGGGGGTGTGCAGGAGGCAGCCGATCAATGACTCTCATCATTGATGTTTCTCTCCTCTATGAAATCAATAAAATATATAAAATATACATATTTTTACTGATTTCATAGAGGAGAGAAACATCAATGATGAGTGTGTGTGTATATATATATGTATATATATATACACACACACACACACTGGCTGGGAACCTCTGTCTTAATTTGCTTTTTTTGTTCTAATATGTTGGGACAGCAGCATTGTATAATGCCATCTGTCTTTCACATTTCTGTTTTCCAGCCGTTTTTGTAATAGTTTCCAACTCACTGCCAGACTTTGGACCTAAGAAGACAAAGTTTAACCACCTGGTTTGTACTACAGGGGAGAAAACGAAAATTTGATGAGATTTCCCTTCTATTTTACTCGATCAGATCAAAGAGAAAATAGCACGTTCCTTATGGGCCATTTTTTCCTGTCCACTTAATGTTTCCCACTGATTTTCAGATGGTGTGTATTTTTCACCCAGGATCACTCTCCTTTTACAAACTTTTTATCCCCTTGTGAACTTTGGCATCGAAGTTAATATGAAACAAGTCTCAACCCTCATACTAGTTCTCTGTATATTTCCAGTTTGTTTTTCATTTTGGAAAACTGTTGTTCTAACGGTCTAAATCATGCTATTTTGCACGGCATGTCTCTAGAGGTCTCGTTTTCTTTGGTTAATTCTCACCCGAGGATATTTTTTCCATTGATTTTTAGAGAGAGTGAAAGGGGGGGGGAGAAAGAGCAAGAGACATCATTTGGTTGCCTCCCACACATGCCCCCGATTGGAAATCAAACTCAAGACCCTTTGGTGTTGGGCAGACGCTCTAACCACTGACCCACATCGGCCGGGGCTAGAGGTCTGGTTTTCAAACCTTGGACCTCCCTGGGGTCCCTCATTAGGGCCTGCTTGTTTTCTCTGAAATATACCATGCTTTCATGAGCATTTCACACCGAAACACTGCTTTCCCAAAAGGTTTTGTTATATCAAATTGGGAATGTAATTAGTTAATAGGAAAGGAAAAATTTTGCAGTTTCCAAGTTTAGAAGGAAGGATTTTTCCATGTTTGTAGTAATGGGACAAGAATCTTACAGAGATTTAAGAATTTATAAATTATGTGCCAATTTTGAAAAAAAAAAATTTAAAAATGAGCTTTACATTCTAGTTGCTTCTACTCTGGCTTTCATAAAGACAGAGATTTTAAATAGATTCTAGAATTGAAGAAAAATTTCAGAACATGATAAGTTTAAAGTAGGAGCTACAGGATTTCGATTATTTTTCCTAACACTATATGATTTTTAAAAATACTTTAAATTTTTTTTTCCAGCTCTGTCCACTGTTTGAAAAGTATTTAAAAAGAATAAAAATCATGCCTAATCTCACTTTTGGAATTAGTCTTTTCAAGTTATTTTTATATTCGGTGATAGCAGAACTCTGCCCGTGGAGAAGCACACCGGAGTCATTTCCACTTCTCTGTTTTAAGTCAACGGCCTGTCATTTGGTTTCTGAAATTCAAATACATTCCAAACACTTTGGCAATTCGTCAGTGAAGGCACACCTGCTTCTCCCACCTTTGCAGACAGAGAATGCTATGACTAAAAAGTAGTGTTCTGTCTCTTGGGTAGTACTTGCTTAGAAAATAATAAAAAATACCAGGAGCCGCTTGAAGAACTAGTCATTCTTGTGGCTTCTCAAACACACGCCTCCTCTCTCTCCTGTGGACTCGACAGTTGGAGGCAGCATGTGCAGGGGCTGAGAACCGAGGTAGGACGTTCCCAGCGGAGACCCCAGACGCTGCTGCTGGCCACGCTCTTCATCTTCCTTGGTCTCACCAACACTCATGTCGGGGTTCCTTTCCTCATCTTACTCTTTATGAATGTTGGCTGTTGGGCACTTAACTTTTCTTTCTATTCTCAACAGATACAAGCAACTGCTTTCCTATTTTATACATTCTAAGGTGTGGCTTCTGACTTGCTGGAAATAATTATCTCCATGGATGTAGAAGGAATCCTGAGCTAATTACTTTCCAGGTGAGGACTTGCCAACCTGAGTGGCATCACTCCTGCTGGGTTTCCTTCGACAAGCCTTTGTCAGCCCCCTTGGATTTAGGGAATTAGGCGGTGGAAGGAGGAGCCTTGACTAAGGGCAGGAGCTCTGGGCTATACTTCTCAATTCCTTTTCATGCTGTGTGATCCTTGGCTGGCCTTTGTTTTTCTGGATTTCAGCCTCATCTGAAAAAAATTATCTCTGAGGTCTTAATTCTGTTCAAGATTTCTCTCATCGGTATTAATCTTTACCACTGACTGAGAGATGGGCCTTATATATATGCTATGCAAATATTAAACTTAACTGATGTTGGGTTTACTCTGTTCGTGGTGCCTGGCACAGGGCAGGCTCGCTAAGTATCTACTAAGTGAGCAAACAAACTTAGTGTGTGGCTCCTTGTATAAACCCTATAGTTCAAAAAAGGCAGAGAATTTTGTTAGTTCTAGAGGCAGAGAGCTAACATTGTGTGCCAGCTAGATGAAGTCATTTCTGTGAGTGGTTTTTGATCTGGGGCATCCGGGTGAAATCTGGGCTGGTGAATTTTGCTTTGTTCTGTGGTGTGGCCTCAGATGTTTTCAAAAACATTTGAATCGGTTGCCAGCCACTTAAAATTGCAAGCCTATAAACAGAAACTGAATTGCTCAGCTTCTCAGAAGACTGGAAGAGCTGGCTGCATGAGGTTCCTCATTCCTGCCTGGCAACTGCTGGCAGGAGCTGAGGTGGGTTGAGTGGGCAAGTTTCTGATTCACCCCCGATTCTCTCCCTACCATGACCTGCTCGTCACAATTAGGTTGTTATCATCAAACCCGTCTGTCCCCCATAAGAATTGCTGTGATTACTGGGTGAGCTTGGCTTCTCACCTAATGAAATTGTATAGTGCAAATATTCTGTATTGATCAAAGTGAAAAGTGTAAGAGAACCAGAAGCAATGTGGGTAAATCCGATGTTCATTTGTGAAAGTGTAGAATCTATATTTTCATTTTTCTCTAATGGCAATGGTTCAATTTTTAAAAAAGGTGACCTAGTCTTTCATTTGAATCCATTTTTAATTTGGGTCTATGTTTGAAGTTTGCACTCTGATGTTGCCAAGTTGTCGTATGACCTTAGGCCCGTGTTTCTCAATCTTTAACGGGCGCTGGAAGCAGGTGGGAAGTGTGTCAAAAATACAGATGCCTGGGCCAAGCCCCGCAGATTCTGACGGGGTAGGTTTGGGGTGGAGACTGAGCATCTGTTATCTTTTTAGAAATGTTGCAGATTATTCTGAATCCGTGGAAATGTGAGAAATGTGAGAACCTTTGATCTAGAGTAAATACTCCTGCTATTTTGGTGAGGGGGAGGGTCCTGGTTTGGGGAATTTCTTCTATGGAAGGAGATTCTTAGAGAAGAAATACACGTGAAGATGTTTGCCTCTGAGGACCGTCTGTGGTGAGGATGGCGGCAGATCTAACAGCTCACAGGCCTTCTGCAGCGAAGCGGCAAAGCGTGGCTGGCGCGTCAGTGCAGGTGCACGTGAGATCTGCCTTGTTGGCCA